TGGTCGATGATCGGTGAAAATGATGAAGTCGTGTCCTTCCAAGTTGTGCCGGAAGTATTTAACAGCACAGTACACAGCAAGTAGCTCTCTGTCATATGTGCTGTATTTCCTTTCTGCAGTAGTAAGTTTTCTGGAGAAAGAATGCCATTGGGGAAAGTCCTTTAGTGGTATGGGCTTGAAGCACTGCTCCTATGGCCGTGTCAGATGCATCTACCATTATAGAGAGCTGATCACTAGGTGAGTGATAAGAAAGTGTGGCTGCATTTGCCAGATCGTGTTTGCATTGCACGAATGCTGCAGATGCAGATTCAGTCCAAGGGACAGCTCGTTGATCGTTTTTTTTTTTTTGCTATTCTTCAGAAACTCATGTAGGCAGGCTTGTGTTTTTGCGGCATTTGGCAGAAAGCGTCGGTAGAAATTTAACATTGCTAGAAAACGCTTCAGTTCAGAGATGGTTTTGGGCTGAGGTAGGTCGTTAATTGCTTTGACTCTTTCCGGTAAAGGTTTGACTCCATTCTGTTCTGGTGATAAGACATCCAAGAAAGGAAACTGAGGGTTGACCAAGTACACATTTGGATGGATTTAGTTTTAATCCATGATCTTTAAGGCGAGTGAAAATCTGACGCAGATGTTGAAAATGTTCTTCCGCATCTGTAGATGCAACCAGGATATCATCAAAATATGGGATGCAGAAATCGAGGCCAGACAGTACTTGGTGTATGAAACGCTGAAATGTTTGGCCAGCATTGCGAAGGCCAAATGGCATATATAAGTACTCAAAGAGACCAAATGGTGTAGTCACTGCGGTCTTGGGCACATCTTCAGCATGCACTGGGATCTGATGATATGCTCTGGCAAGATCGAGGGTAGAAAATATGTTTGTTCCATGAAAAAGATGGGTACAGTCTTGGATATGTGGGACTGGATATCTGTCAGGGACTGTGACGGCATTAAGTCGACGATAATCTCCACAAGGCCGCCAGTCACCATTAGACTTTTTAACCATGTGAAGTGGACTGGCCCATGGACTTTTAGATGGGCGAATGGTTCCCTGTGCTAGCATGAATTCAAATTCTTTGCGAGCAGCTTTTAGCATCTCTGGAGAAAGACGACGAGGCTTGGAAAATACAGGTGGGCCATGTGTTTCAATGTGATGATACACTTCTGGCTGATGAGTATGCTGCCCTGATTTGGATGGGTTTAAAATGTCAGGGAATTCTGCTAATAACCGATGAAACCGTGTGCTGCCCGATAAAAACACTTATGTTGGTAGGTACGTTTGATATGTGAGAAGCTTGGCCCTGTGATGTCAGCTGAGTTGTAGCATCAATTAAGCAATTATTCTTGACATCCACTAGAAGGTGGAAATGTGTCAAGAAGTCGACACCAATAATTGCTTGAGTTACATCCGCAATAATAAAAGGCCAGTTGAAAGTCCGGCGCAAGTTTAAATCAAGTGTCAATAGTTTGGTGCCGTAGGTTGCAATTTGGGTACCATTGGCTGCATACAGTACAAGTTTATTAAGTTGGTGAGCATTTGTTTTAGTTCTCGGGAGCACTGATATGTCAGCTCCAGTATCTACTAGAAAACATAACTGAGTTGAACGATCAGCCAGTACTATTCTGTCGATGTGGCGGACATTCTGTTGGCCAGCAGAAGACCGCCCATTTAGTTTCCCGCTTGTACAAAAGTGCATGGAGGGGCACACTTGCGAGCTTGAGAGCCAAAATTCATATGATAAAAAACATATGCCACTTGTGGGTTCTTTGTACTGCGTTCGAGTATTATGACGACGAGATGGACTCCTGCTTCGGGCACGAAATTTATTACGTGGGCCCTGATTTGATCGATTGTATCTCCGTGAAGCATGAAGACTTGTAGAGAGTTCAGATACTTTTTTTGGTCAATTCAGCCACTTGTTGTTCGAGGGATGAACTGGAAGGTGCAGCATTAGCAGCACTGACATAAGCTGGAGTAACAAGTTCATTAATTTTGTCAGCCATTGCTGCTAAACGGGTTAGATCTTCATTGGAAGCAGCAAGAATTATTTGTATGTTATTAGGGAGACGCGAAAGCCATAGTGACTTCAACAAGTCGTCACTAAAATGGCTTCCTGCCAGATCACGCATTCGTGACAGCAAGTATGAAGGTCGCTGATCTCCAAGTTCAAGTCCTTGTAGTAAAGTACGTATTTTTGAAGATTCACTTTCTGAATAGATTTCAATGAGCCGCTGTTTCAGTTTGGAGTATTTATCACAATCAGGTGGTTTGAGAATTAAGTCATGCACTGAATTCAGAATATCAGACTCAATTGCTGCAACTACATGGTTGAATTTTGTAGAATCCTCACTAATGCGAGCGATAGAAAATTGTGCTTCGATCTGAGCGAACCACAATGAAGGATTATTTTTCCAGAAAGGCGGTGGCTTCACCGCAACGCGTGTGATTTGTGGCTCTGGTGGAATATCGTCGTCGGGCATACTGATAGATAATTTTCACTTTAATTAATAAACACTTAACAGCACAAATATCGTAGCATGAGGATACACTATTGATATTTTACCATGATAACAATAAATATTTTAACCATGCAGAAAAATTTACGTAACGATACACACACAAATAATACAGGGTCAGCAATTACACACACAAATAATATTTTACCGAAATGCATTTGAAAAGAAAACCCTTATTTGAGAAAAAAAATGATGCGTTCATTTTGTATTGCGCACACACACAAAAAAATCACCACTTCACACTGCTAAGGCACTTTCGAAGGAAAAAAGGAAATCACTCCTGTAGCACATGGGAAAGAAATTCACTACTTTCGAACACTGAGGGAAGAATTTTGCCGTAGCACGTTGCAGAAAAAAGTTACTGATGTAGCACATTTAGCGAAAATCACTGTTGTAGCACATTTGTCACAAAAGTTGAATGATCGAAGAATTATTGCACGACTGGCGAAGTCAGCGGAACGGAACAGATCACATTGATGATTTGCTGAAGCTCCTTGCGATGATATGCACGACTTTGAAAAAAAAACACAAGCAATATATATCAATACTTCTAGAAATAATTGAAGGGGTACGTTGTAGCATACGTTTAATGTCCATATTCGTTGTTATTTTTAGTCAGTTCTTCAGAATGCCTTGGATGCACGTGGCTTAGGGTCGTTGAAAATCCATTGTCAGTAGCGTGCTCAGTCAAAAGGTCACCACTTTTGGTGGTCGTGTGCTTAATGCATGATATAATTAAAGAAAATAAGAGTAGACAATCTCCTATAACAAAAGAATATATTAAGTACTAAATTACAATTTAAATTACATTGCAGAGATCAACACAGAGCTCGGAACACAGTTCATGCTACCGTCGCGTACACTTGTCCGACGAGAAGTCTGAGTGAGTAAAGATGTCGCTTTGCTGCTCCGATTAAGAACTGGATTTTACACGTGGCGCCATCTCATGAATAGAAGTTGAAGTATCTGTCGGAACGCCACAACACTATAAGTTTCAATACCTATGAAATAATACATTTTGCTGATTATTTTTTATTTTGCCTGCATTATTGGTGCGTAACGCAATCGCGCAGTGCGTACCAACCATTATACTACATAAATTTAATTATATTTGAAGGAGGAAAAAAAAAAAAAAAAAAAAAAAAAAAAAAAACGAATGAGTTTCCACAGTCGCGCACAAGCTTACATTCAGCTTAAATCAATGCAAAAATCTATGTTGATCTGAGGAGAGAAAACTTCACTGACGTCACAGCCAATAGATAGCGCGAACGCATTTTCGTTTGTTTACCCCAAGTGAGCTAACCTGTTCTTTCTACGAACCTTGGGTGTCAATAGCCTGTTAGCTATTCGCACCGTCGGTGCGATTATCCACTGCGTTAACGAACTGCATCAGCGGCATTGGAACACATGTACGAAATTTAATCATTTAACACACTTTTATCATCCTTCAGCTTCTAATTTCTCTTTGATATCCTCTACCGGCATGTCTGAAGGTCTTAAAACCGCCTTCACAGGCTTTATCATTATTACTATGGGCAACATAATATTTCACACTGTTCATTCCAAAATAATACGAGATTCTGCAGCTGGATCCCGCATTTAATGGAGAGATTTTTAAAAAATTTTCCTTGTATTTTTTCACTGGCTTTGATGTCATTTCTAAGATTTTAAGGAATTTGTTAAACTTTAAGAAAATGATAATCATGATTAGTTTCGTCCGAGGTTGTTTGCGTACCTCTTTTTGGAGTATCTAGGGTATTTGTTCCTAAGGTCGATGAAGGTTCGGTCCTATATGTCCAAACATCTCATCAGTGAAAACCAATTGACCTTTTTTCCTGGAAATTCTACAGACGATGCTCTTTATTGAGTAATAAATTTTAATAGATCTAACAACAGGGACTTTCATGCTGTGGTCTGGGTCAATATCTCAGGTGTCTTTAATGCTGAACGATGTCAAAGTTTCTTCACTAATCGCAGTATTGTCTATGCATAAGGCAGGTTTGTCGAAATACGTAAAAATATTTATAAAGGCTGCTCGAAGGCTTCTTGTAGGTGCTTCGCTATTTTGGGGCCTCATCATACACAAGTTTTAAAAAATTCAATTTGAAGAGGGTTCAAATTGTAATCAGGGTAATACTATTGTAATCAGGGTTCGTATGGTCCTTAAGAGTCCTTACAATTCCTTAGTTTTTTTTTCTTTTTTTTTTCTTTGAATTGATTTTTGATTCTTAAAAGGTCCTTCAGTTCGCCAAAATCGGATTGGAGTGCATGAGTACATTTTTAAGTGCAACGAAGACAATCTAAAGAAGTCTATACTTAGATGTAAAAATAACTCATATCAAGTAGAAATAATTAAAAATGTAATAAGGAATATGAAATATATTATTATTGCTTCGCGTAAAACTCAAAACCTAAATGTTTTCAGCCAAGAAACTTTCAATTTTTTTCCCAACAGGCAGAAAGATTAAATTTTTATTTTTATTTGTGAAAGAGATACGACATGGAGATTCTGTGATATTAGAGCATTTTAAACTTTGGAAAGATCAGTTTGAATACTTATTAGTCACTTGAAAAAGTATATCATGGGTAAAAAAGATAAGAAAAAGGGCAAAGGAGCTGAAAAAACTGCATCTAAAACTGAGAAAAAAGCCCTTAATAAATTAAAAAAAGATTTGGCAGCTAAAGGAGAGGTAAGACTGAAATACGTGTCTCTTATTTTTCTGAAAATAATAAAAAGTATATTAATATTTATGATGGAGAAATCAAAGAAATATTCTTTTAAAATTAACAGATTTAAGACGTTTTGTTTCTTATACTAACGGGAAATTTGTTTGAATTTTAAATAAGTATTTTATACTGTATTATCGCATTCTCCATCCCCTTGTGGACGAATAAAGTAGAAGGAAGACTCTGAGTGTTTTTTTAATAATGTGCGGTATTAAGTTGGTGGTGTCAAATTAAAAAAAAAAAAAAATCACTGCTACTTAAACCATATTTTTTAATGGAACTACTCTGATATGCGCCCTCAAGTTGCCAAATTTCTCGCCAAACATTTTTGGCGAGAAACTTTACGCTGCCATATTACTATCTAAATTTTTTGTCTATATTTCGAACTTCAAGCCTAAAATGTCTCCCAAAACGCGGTTTTCGCACATGCAAAAACTACGTTTTGAACACACGATTTAAGCTAAAAATCCGAAACAAAAACAAAAAATTTAGATAGCAAAAACGTAAAGTTTCTAACCAAAAATATTTGACAAGAATCCATGCACACAGCGACATGTTTTAACTTAAAAAAAGTCTACGAATGGCACGATGTAGGCAACGAACGAATTTACAAACTACACACACCTCGCTTTAATAAATTAGCATAACAACAATAAATTTCAAAGAATACCGTGTACACAGCATCCTGTTTAAACTTAAAAAAACATCTATGAATTGCACAATTTAGGCAAGGAACGAATCTACAAACTACGCACACCTCGCTTTAATAAATTAACATAACAATAAATGTCAAAGAATACTGTGTACATAGCATCCTGTTTAAACTTTAAAAAAAATCTACGAATTGCACAATTTAGGCAAGGAACGAATCTACGATCTACGCACACCTCGCTTTAATAAAATAACATAATAACAATAAATTTCAAATAATACCATGTACACAGTGTTTTGTTTCAAAAAGAACAACGACAGAAATTCATACTAAATAACCAATGAACATAACATTCTGCAAAATAAGAACAAGAATAAAATAAAATGCACTTAGTATGAATTAATGCTTTTTCGAACAGCAGAAATGCCAATTTCATACCGCCTTTAACATGCCGCCACGTAATCACTATCGTATTTACATGACAGCCAGACACATTCCAGAAAATTCATACTATGGTTCACAAACTAAATAAAAATCACAAATCCCTACTTCTGTCATGCACAGGCCATTAAAAATAATCTTCCCAGACCCTTCCTTTCCACACCTCCAAATACCCGCTACCCCTCAACAGGATGGGCCACAATAATATTTCCTTTTGCCGAACTTCAATTCAACAACTTCTTTATATTTCCCTCCCATCTTCTCAGACACAGACGCGAATCAACGAGCTCCAGCTAAAGATTGTTCAACGTCAACAGGGTTGCCATAGAACATGCGGTTGATCTTTACAATATGGTAACTGGTAGTTTGGCGACATTTTGGAGGCGATAAAGGTTACTACCTGGGACTTTGGTAATAATGTGAGCAGTACTCAGTTCCGATTACGCATTATTTTGCGTGAGGGAAATGAGAGATCATGGGATATGTCATGTGATATTAATGGACGAATTACGGTTCTTTAATCGGAAAAGGGGGGAAATCGGGGAAAAATGTGGAAATTTTGTATTTAGCTTTATTCTGTGTTGTGTGAAACATGTTGTTGTTAATTTTTGGATCCCATGGCCCTAACCAAAGTGAATTCAAAATGGGTATTTAGGCATTGTGATAAAGAGAAGTTTTGCTTTTTATTTATAGCGGAGGAAGTATGGAGGAAAAATTCGCAGAAAAAAATCTTTCAATAATTTTATTGAATGAATTAGAAAAGTGTATCCGCCACGGAATCAAGATTCTGAAGAAGAGATTAGGTAAGTTAGTATTTTAATTATTTGAGGATATTATTTTTATGCATTGTTCTAAATGTAAGGTGGAAAGGAATTTGGTATTATTGGGAAAATTGTTATTAGCAATGATTTAGTTTAAAGTAATTAGGATTGTAAGGTAATTTTTTATTAATTTAATGTATGTGCTCATTTATATTTTAAGTAGTGTTTTTTGAATTTAATTATATTTTAATGAAATGATAGTTATTTTGTGAATTTTATGTTTGTAGGAATTTGGTATACGTTTAAGTTGAAATAAACGTGCATGGAAATAATTTAAATATTTGATACTAAGTATTTGTAATGCTTGCAGTATGAATTCGTTGGTGACGTGTATAATGTAATAGATGATTTAGTGGTAAAAGTTTTTGGATATTTTATTTATTTTATATGTGGAAATGTTCATATTTTTAAAGGGTAAATACTTTTTCGCGATCAGGTAATTTCAAATTTCATATATGTTCTTTTTACCGGGTTTAAAGATTGAGAAAATTGTCATGTATTTTCGTGAAATTTTTCTAATTTATGAGAAAAAAGCAGTGTACATGGATATAGTGAAGAGTGTGCGCAATGCCATTTTTGTGCAATTCTGGGATGTTTTTTTAAGTAAAAATAAGTCGGCGTGTACATGGTTTATGTGTATGTGTTATTTTGAAAAATGCGTAAGGAGAATGGTATTGTGCAGTTTTTTCCTAATTTTGCAGTGATATTTGTCATGATTAAGCAGTTTTTTTTTGATAAAAATTTCTAGCATAAGTGTAATTCGGCTAGTAGATTGTTGGAAGAAGTGTTCAGGAGATAAAAAGAAAAGAAACATGTCTTTACTTCGTGAAGACAAAATGGCGGCGGGGAAAAAAAAAGAGGGTTGCTGTAGGAGAGTTGGTTGCCAAATTTTCGCCAAAAAATCTATAAGTTACCATAATGTAAAGATCAACCGAACATGCAATTGTGCCAAAAACCAGCGCAGAACACATATCGCCACATTTGGTGAAATTAGGGCGTATATCAGAGTTGTACCTTTTTAATATCATTTTAAGTTATATCTTTTGGTGCACTTTAAAATATGAGGAAAATGTTGATAAATTTGCGTGTAACTGTGCCTTATTGTATGATGTACGAATTCGTTGAAATATTTTGCGCGGAAAGAAGGTGTAATGCTTTATTTATTGATTCTTCATAATTATTTCTGAAGCTGTTCCCAAGAAAAATTATTTATTTATGGATCCTAAATCATTGAGTTTGTAGGATTTCCATTATATATCGTTTTAGTTTAATAATAACGCTTGGTACTTCGTTATTAATGATATTTTTATACTTTAGTTTATGCACCTGCCACACATTTCGATGAGTGTTTTAATTCTAAATAAATTTATAATTAGAACAATTTATGGATACACAAACACATGCAATTGGGTCTCAGTGTGTTTGGTTTCTCTTTCATGGGCACCAAAAGGCATGGCAGATGCATAACGGAAAAGCACTCATATTTTTTTATATAAAATTTAGGAACTACTCTTATGTATGCCCTCAGTTGGCGACAAATTTCTCGGTAAATATTTTTGGCAAGAAACTCTGTGGTGCCATATTACTATCTAAATATTTTGTCTACATTTCGAACTTTAAGCCTAAAATGTCATATCATTAACCCAGTTCTCAATTCCAAAGAAAGCTTGGATGTTAAGGTAAAGTATCTTTGTGGTGTGGGAAACCTAAAATATATGGCGAGCTGAAAGTCCTTGGTTGATCTTTGGATTATGGTAACTTGGCAATTTTTTGGTGAAAATTTGGCGACCAACTCTGCTACAGCAACCCTCTATTTTTTTTTCCGCCGCCATTTTGTCTTCACGAAGGTAAAGACATGTTTCTTTTCTTTTTATTTACTCAACACTTTCTCCAACAATCTACTAGCCGAATTACACTTATGCTAGAAATTTTATCTAACAAAACTGCTTAATCATGACAAATATTCACTGCAAAATTGGGAAAAAGTGCACAATAGCAAACTCCTTGCGCGTTTTTCAGAATAACACATACACATAAACCATGTACATGTCGACTTATTTTTACTTAAAAAGAATCCCAGAATTGCACAAAAATGTCATTGCGCACACTCTTCACTATATCCATTAACACTGCTTTTTTCTCATAAATTAGAAAAATTTCACGAAAATACATGACAATTTTCTGAATCTTTAAACCAGGTAAAAAGAACATATATGAAATTACCTGATCGTGAAAAAGTATATACCCTTTCCAAATATGAGCATTGCCACATATAAAATAAATAAAATATCCAAAAACTTTTACCTCTAAATTATCTATTATATTATAAACGTCACCAATGAATTCATACCCCAAACATTACAAATACTTAGTGTCAAATATTTAAATTATTTCCATGCACGTTTACTTCAACTTAAACGTATACCAAATTCCTACAAACATAAAATTCACAAAATAACTATCATTTAATTAAAATATCACTAAACCATGTACACGTCGACTTATTTTTACTTAAAAAAACATCCCAGAATTGCACAAAAATGGCATTGCACACGCTCTTCACTATATCCATGTACACTGCTTTTTTCTCGTAAATTAAAAAATTTCACGAAAATACATGACAATTTTCTCAATCTTTAAACCCGGTAAAAAGAACATATATGAAATTACCTGATCGCGAAAAAGTATTTACCCTTTACAAATATGAACATTTCCACATATAAAATAAATAAAATATCCAAAAACTTTTACCTCTAAATCATCTATTACATTATACACGTCACCAACGAAATCATACCGCAAGCATTACAAATACTTAGTACCAAATATTTAAATTATTTCCATGCACGTTTATTTCAACTTAAACGTATACCAAATTCCTACAAACATAAAATTCACAAAATAACTATCATTTCATTAAAATATAATTAAATTCAAAAACACTACTTAAAATATAAATGAGCACATACATTAAATTAATAAAAATTAGCTTACAATCCTAATTACTTTAAACTAAATCATTGCTAATAACAATTTTCCAATAATACCAAATTACTTTACTTCCACCTTACATTTAGAACAATGCATAAAAATAATATCCTCAAATAATTAAAAATACTAACTTACCTAATCTTCTTCAGAATCTTGCTTACATGGTGGATGCACTTTTATGGATTCAATAAAAGTCATTGAATGATTTTTTTCTGCGTAATTTTTCCTTCCACACTTTTCTCCGCTAAATAAAAAGCAAAATTCTCTTTATCACAATGCCTCGGAATGGCGCTTTTTATAGCACTCCACGTGCCCTCTATTGTATTGGTATGTGCACCTGTTTCCAGATCTTTAAAATAATATTAGACAGCGCCATACAATCCAAAAATTATTCAACACTACTTCACACAACACACAATGAAGCTTAATACAAAATAATATAGTGCCACAGATATTTTTCCAAATTCCCCCCCTTTTCCGATTAAAGAACTGTAATTCATCCATTAATATCACATGACATATCTCATGATCTCTCATTTCCCTCACACAAAATAATGCGTAATCGGAACTGAATACTGCTCACATTATTACCAAAGTCCTAAGTAGTAACCTTTATCGCTTCCAAAATGTCGCCAAACTACCAGTTACCATATTCCAAAGATCAGCCAAGTCCTCTTTGGAATTTTGGGGGCACTTTCAAAATTAGGATGCAGCTCGTATAGGTCGTTCTGTCAACTATGAGGTGATGCGAGGCCCATGCAAGTGACAGACACAATTTTGCAGTCGTGTTTATAATAGAAATTTTTGAATTTGTTCTGAAGTTACTGTCAGAGAAATGAGATAAGTCACAATACTAATAATAAATTCAGAGAGTTAGGTACTGGGCTGTGTAAAAAATTCTAACTTGTTTCAGAAAATATAAATAATGTTGAAAAATCTAAAAATGTTTTTATTTACTTAAATTTGGTTGTTTTCTTTGTGTGCATTGAATTAAAAGGTGGGGAAATGATTCTTAGCTTTGAATTAAAAAGAAAAATAATAATAATAATGTGATACAGATAATGTTTTCAAAAAGTAAGTAATAAACCGTGCATATATTGCATTATAAAAGCTTTTAAAAGCATGAGGTGTATTTTAAAAATTTAATCATGTATTTATGTTTAGGATGACATAGAGAAACTAATTGCGGAATTCCAAGCACGAGATAAAAAGCTGAGTGTCACTGCTGAAGAATTATGCTCCCAACCATCACCTAGGTAAAAATGTATTTTTTTCACTGATATCTTGAATTTTCATATGAAGTGATATTATTGGATATATTTCCCATTAAAATGAGTATTTACTCTTAGTTCATATACAGTCAAAAGTCTTTAATCCGGGCGTCCATAATCCGGAATGATCTATAATCCAGACCTCAAAGCTGCAAACTTTCTGCGCATGCGTAAACGCATAATGCATTTACGGATGCGCATAATACTTTTTACGCATGCATATAATATGTTTACTCATGCACATTTAATGTATAACAGACGGTATAAGCTAAGCTAAAATTATCTAATTACTTATTTCAGTTAATGTTGCAGATTGCGTTGTTCCTTAATCTTCTAATTGGATTTGGCTTATTATTTTTTGCAGATTGTTAGAGCAATTTTATAAAAGTAAGCTTGAACTTTCGATTATGTCAAAAAGAATTTCCGATTCTGGAGCTGCCTACAAAGCGAAAGCATGTTTCGATGTCCATCAAACAAAAAAATGGGATTGCTGCAAAAAATGGATAAAGGCATATCCTTTGTTTCTCTAACCATTCTGAAATCTGTTTATAAATTTCGCGCTGCTCTGCGCGGGGGGGGGGGGGGGGGGTCGCGGCGTGCAGTGAACTGCAAGTTGATTTGTCAGCACTATCCTTATCTTCAGGGCAGATGTTTTTATTTTATTTGGCTTATTCCTTACTAAATGTAGTATTTAATCTCAATGTACTCCGTCTTTGATATGATTTAAATCAAATTCCTCGTCATTATAAATATCACAAATACACTTTAAATAGTTTTCTGGTTGCAATTTTCTAATTTTGATTATGCGTAATGTATGCTTTATGCATGTGCATGTTGAAAGAAATGTTTAAAAAGTAAACAAATAAATATTAAGCTTTTTTTTTTGTAAATTTTGATACCCTTTAGATCATAATTGCTCTTTATTTTATAAATTACGGTTTCATATTTTTAATTTTATAATTTCTGCATGCCATCTTACTAGATTTAAACTGATGATCTATAATCCGAAAAAACTGATAATCCGGAATTGCCAAAGTCCCGACAAGTCTGAATTAAAGACTTTTGACTGTACAGTGAAATACGTTTAACGCAAAAACGCTTAAGATGAAATATTGGTTAACGCGAAATAATACAGCGGTCCCGACAAACTACTATATATTTTCATGCAATTTGTTTCTCTTAACACGAAAGGATGTCCTTTCTTAAAATGAACAGAATGCAGAAAATACCGGCCTCGCAGATAAGAAGGGTGTGATATGAAAGGTGGTTTCACATGTTTCATTAAAAAGAGGCTAACTTGGCTCTGAAATACCCTAGGAATAGCCTACGACACAAGCCAGTTTTGTTTATCGAACTTACTTTCACCTTCCACTCCTAGAAATGCCACATAAACATCTGGGTAGAGTAGACTAAGATACCCCTTGTGTTATGGCAAAGTTGTTGTTTGATTTATCGCCAAGTTGTTGTTTCATTTATGGTAGCCTGAGTAGTTGAATGTTATGGAAACCCTATTGTGACGTAATCGGGTGCATGATTCTGGGAAATTTTGAATCATGGGATGTTTTGTAAGCGTTTTTGTTGTGTGTGTTGGTTTGATTCTTTAGACAGTAGAATGGCCGAATGTAGTAAGATTAATTTGAAGTTTCTGTACGATTTGAAGCAAAAGGAGAAAAGAGTTTTAATTGACTGGTGTGTAAATGAAGGTTTTCTTAGTAGCCATTATAAGTGTCCTGTATTTAGGAAGGATATGCGTCTAGTCGAACGTAAAAACCGTTTAGATGGATTTGAATGGGTGTCTAATCTTTGGAATATGGTAACAGGTAGTTTGGCGACATTTTGGTAAGGCGATAAAGGTTAGTAGCTAGGACTTTAGCAGTGTACAGGAAGTGTGCAGTCAAGAGAGAAGTCAAGAGTGTGTGCAATGCCATTTTTGTGCAATTTGGGAATTTTTTTTAAGTGAAAAATAGGTTGACGTGTACATAGATACCGTGTATGTGCAGTTCTTAAAAACGTGGCAAGCAGTTTGCGATTCTGCACTTTCTCCCATTTTCGCACCTAATCTTCGTCATGATTAAGCACGTTTGTTCCATAAAAGTTCTAGCATAAGCGTAATTCGGCGAACAGATTGTCGTAAAAAAATGTTGAGTTAAAAAAAAAAAAAAAAAACCTTTATTTCGTGAAAACAAAATGGCGTCCAAACAAAAACTAGCAGGTTGCTGTAGCAGCGTTGGTCGCCAAATTTTCACCACAAAATTGCCAAGTTACCATAATCTAAAGATTAACTGAATGGGTTTGTAGGAAGAAAGGTTCAGATGGTCACTATGTGAAGCGTTTGATCAGAAAGAGTACCTGGTTTGAAAAAAGTCATTTGAGTATGATTGATATTTTGATTTTTACGTGGCTCTGGGTGTACGAAGCGAACTCGAAAATCATGGTAAGTTAATATTCGCTTTTGGTAGTGCTTAAATGTATAACATGTTTTTCCTTTTTTATGTTATTTTATTGTTTGGTTTAAAATGTATTTTATTGAGATTATGTATTTTTTGTTTGCCTATATTGTAGAATTTGGTGCTCCTTTGACTTTTTAAGTGAAAATAGTATTGATGTGTACATTGGACAAAGTAAAGGGAGTGTGCACAATGCAAGTTTGTGCAATTCTGGGATGTTTTTTTTTTTTTTAAGTAAAAATAGGTCGACGTGTACATGGATAAAGTCAAAGGGAGGATGCGCAGTGCCATTTTTGTGCAATTCTGAGGATTTTTTTTTAAGTGAAAATAAGTCGAACGTGTTACATGGATACCGAGTTTGTGCAATTGTTTATCTTGTTATTTTGGCTTTGTGTAGCGGCAATTTTTGGCGGAAAAATCGGCGCTTCGCAAGCCAAAATAATGAGTCAAAGAATTGCACAAAATCGGTATCCATGTTGCCGCCTAAAATCGCCAAGTTTCGCCAAGGGGTACCCTAAACTATACTTTTACCTAAACATCTCATTAGTTGGGTTTGGAATTCAGTGTTGAGTACATCGCAGTGTGAGTAAATATCTGCGAGTTTGATTCATATGTTGCACTCTTGCATGTTCATATATTCTCTTCACAAGTTGCGCTCTGTATGGAATTCAGTGACTCCAAGGATGAATGAAAATAGTTTTCGTCATGCATGATTCTCAAAAGTTCAGATTCTTTGGTGCCAAAAGAAATGGAGAATGAGGATATTGAATCTGAGCCGATACTTAATGAAATGTTTGAGACAGTTTCTGTACTATTGGACTGTCCTACTATATTATCGGAAGAATTTGTTGCAGTAGTTGATGATAATGTGTATACAGCCCCAATTATGACAGACAAAGACATTTTGGAGTTAGTTCAAAGCTCAATATCATTGATGCTGATTCCAACGATGGAAATGAAATGAATAATGCAGCTCTAGCTCTTGTTCCCATGTCATTTGAAATGAGGAACTTCATGAAAAGTGTGCACAGATATTTAGATGCACATTCCAATGGTGAAATGAGTAACAAAGTGGATGACATTGAACAATCTGTTAAGAATTTTATGCTAAAAAGCAAGGAAAGAGGACACCATAAAATGTCAGTTTTATCATGGAATGTATGGTGCAGCCAAACTAAAGCTAAGAAAGAAGGAATGGGGGGGGGGTGAACAACATAAATGTATATTGAGATACAAAAATCTTTGGTATTGTTCTGATATAGGGACTGGATTGTGAAATATATGCATATACATGTGTATACACACATATGCGTTTGTACGTACATACATACATACATATATTTCTGAATCTGGTCCATATAACAGAAGTGATTATTTGACATATGCATGAGTAACTGATGATCAGAAACATTTGTTTAAATTTTTTTTATTTAATTATTGAAAACCTTGCAAAATAAATATCACTAATATTTGACATAATTTAAGTAATTTCACTAAGATTTCAAACAGCATTCAGTTCGAAAATACACAATTTGACCACTGTAGTATGCCTTTTAAAAATTTTTTGTGATTGATTATTATCGTGCATTGAGAGAATGTACTTTATAAAATAATAATAATATTAAAAAATTATTTAGTTTGTGTCACTTTCCTTCCTTTTTCATGACACAGAGAATGTCAATAACTTGAAGCACAATTTTATACATTCAAAAGTATATTTTATATTGCTTATTAACTTATGAAAGGGGAAAGATGAAAGTTTTAAGAGTTCAAAAGAAGAATTTGTGCTTTATCATGATCATTATCCTTAATTGTTCTGCTTTTAAACAGTGATAGTTATTAAAATGAAAAAACTTACTAGGTAATACTTACATTATAGTGGTAGCAATTCATACTTATATTAAAAGAGTGCATAGGTAGAAGATAATTAAGTACTATTAAAACATTTCCAACATCTGTTGGTTTGAAAGAAGGTTTTTCAAAATTTCTTTTGGTGAATAACATACAGAGGAAAACGTTTAAGCTTGGATTGGGGGGGGGGGGGGGGAAAGAAGGAGAAAGTTAAAAACATACATAATTTTTTTTTTTATTAAATCCTGAAAATCTGAAAAATAGTAACAAAAATAAAGAAACAACTTTAATATTTACTAATTTAAAATATGTAGTGTGTTACCTAGTTTATTCTAGTCATTTTTCATTTCACTCATTCTTGTTTCATATCATGAATATAAAGATATCATATAGAACTAGATCCAATAAGTGCAAAATTATTTTTTTTATTAGATTTTCTACATGACAGTACATGACACATATTATGACACTTCTTTTATAGGGATCTAAGCTCAGGTTTTGAATTGACAAAAAACATATGAAGAAATAGTTGAAATTGCATATTAAGTAAAATTAAAGACCAAAATGCAGTAGAAAATTCATCTTACTAAATCTTATATGTATAAAAAAGCTAAGTTTGATAATACTGTGCATAAATTGTTCCAGAAATTTCAAGAAGGACGGACAAATATCGTTGATAACATTAGGAAAGAAAGCCTGTGGCAACAGATAATTTCCTTCAAATTACACAATAGATTGACTCAATGGCCTGGCAGCAAACTTTTATGGTGAAAGTGTATAAAATGAAAGTGTGGATGTTTGGGTTCCAATTTTAAACTTGGTCTTTATAGGAAATCACTTTACTTGAATCATTAATAATCAAATTTTTTTTAACATTTTTAATTATTTAAGCTATTTTTTCATATGTTGGCTTAAAATTAAAATATTAATAATTACCTTATTTTTTTTTTTAGGAGTGGTTTTACTCTGTGTGCACATCCTGATAAAGATGAGTTGCTTTTATTTGGTGGTGAATATTTCAATGGGAGTAAGGTAGATAAAATATATTGCATTCTTAAACACATTACCTCTTGCATTTTAATAATTATAAAGTAATTATACTTTGTATTCTGATCTAAGAATCAGATAAATATAGATCAATATAAGAATCAGAAAAAATAATTTTTAATTTATTTTATAATTTTTAAAAATTAATAAATTTTTTTAAAAACATTTTTTTTTTCAATAAAACAGAGTGTGAGGTTTTTTTTGTGTGTTTAGTATTACTAAATACCAGATGCATCTTATTCTGTTTATCATTTATGACATTTATTTAAATTAGGTTCATTAAGTTTTAAACAGTGAAACAGTTTTAAACATAAATTGTAATTTTTTAACAATTGCAATTAATAAAAAAATTAAATCTCTAGAGCTCAGTGTTTAAAAAAAAATTAGAAAAAATACTGTTGTTAAAAAACAGACTTTTTAATAATGTTAAATTTTTTAACATTAAGTAGTTAAAATTAGTGAGTGCTTTTATCAGAGTTGAACTAGAATTCAGGTAATGAAATGTATTGCTGTATGAAGTAATCTATAGAAAAATATGTAAGTGAAAATTTTATCAATTTACTTCCAGTTCCAAATGGAATAACTGACTTATTATCAGAGTGAAGTCCGTGAAGTGCCAAGAACTTATTATATATAAATTGATAGTTCTCTACCACAGTTAAAGTAAAGGCTGGAGAATAGTTTGACTTCCTCTATTTATGCTTTTGACCATTAATCTTGACTTTATTTCATATTCGAATGACTCTTTTAAAAATATTTTGCTGCTTCTGTCTCAAGTAGACATATTTTTACAGTCTCTTGCAGTTTTATCTATCATGGATAGTTCTTATTTTCTGAAATTAATGTTAGCTTCTTAACCACTTATAAATGAACCATATGATTGTTGTGTGTTGTACAGTTTTGTTCAAAACAAATTCCAGCTTTGTTCTCCTTGTTTATCTATGTTTATTGGCATTATAGTTCCATAAAGTGCTGTCTTTCCTGATGCTTAGTTTAGTCTAGTGGGAATTAATTACATTCTGAAGTATTCAGCTGCATTTAATCACCTTTTTCGTTTGGTGCTTAGTTTTATCTAGTGGGAATTAATTACATTCTGAAGTATTCAGCAGCATTTAATCATCTTTAATAGTTATTATTTTAGCCTGCTTACGTGGTTAAAGTATGCAGTGTTTACAAATTGCATTAGATATTGCAACCATTAGGCAGATTTGTGTTGGAAGAGAGTTGGGATCAGTTTTGCCTTGGCTTAGAAGAAATGCAAATATATTTTTAGTAAAGTACAGTCAAAAGTCGTTAATTCGGACACCCATAATCCGGACCTCAAAGCTAAAAACGTTCTGCGCATGCGCTGCGTTGGGACATGTGCACAAGCGTTTTACGCGTGCGCATAAGATCTTGACTACTGCGCATATGCATGTGCACAAGTGCAGAATATGTTTTCGCCTGTGCGTTTAATGTATAATGGACGGTGTAAGCTAAAATTATCTAATTATCTATTTCAGTTAATGTTAATGATTGCGTTGTTCCTTAATCTTCGAATTGGATCCCGCTTATTATTTTTTGCAGACTGTAAGAGCAATTTTATAAAAGTAAACTTGAACTTTCGATTATGTCAAATAGAATTTCTGATGCTGGAACTTCCAAAGGATCTACAAAACGAAAGTATGTTTCGATGTTCAACAAACAAAAAGTGGAATTGCTGCAAAAAATGGATAAAGACATGAAGAATGTGACAGAGAGGTTATTGAAAATGAAAAAATTTCGATTGACAAGTTAGTCGGTATTCTCGGCACAGCAATTAACGGGACTTGAACAGCGGAACTTTGTAACTGAACAAGAAATTATGTCTGTTTATAGAATTAAAGAGAAAGTATTATCACATAAAACGAAGCAACTTAAACAACTTACATTGAAAGAAATGTTTAATAAAGTAAACAAATAAATATTAAGCTTTTTTTTTATAAATTTTGATACCTTTTAGATCATAATTGTTCTTTATTTCATAAATTACGGTTTCATAATTTTAATTTTATAATTTCTGCATGCCATCTTACGAGATTTAAACTGATGATCTATAATCCGGAATCGCCGAAGTCCCGACGAGTCCGGATTAACGACTTTTGACTGTATAATAAATATGTTCTGTTCTTGCTAAAATCCTCAAATTGAGTATTATTTTATGTGCAAGTAAAATGTTTGTGTATGGAAACACTTTTCAGTTCATTTAGGAAGAATGAAGAAATTATTATTACACATACAATTTTTCAATCACGTTGCAGTACTGCAGACTTGCGTTTTACTCTATGAAATTTATAGCAACTTGTAAGAGAACCGAGTTATAAGAAATTTGTCATGGTGTAAGTGGTTAGTATACTTAGGTAGCATTGGAATGTACATGGATTGAATCACAGCAAAGGCAGGCATAGTTTTTCTCATGTTAACCATGTTTTCTCACGTTTTATGAAAAAGTAATGATCTCAAAGTGATGTCGAAACTAAAATATGACAGACAATTTTTCACCTGATGGATTTAGTCAGATGGGTCTTATGCCTTTTCTCAATCATTTTTAGGTGGGGGATCATATTAGAAATGGTTGCATTTTCCTGTGCATGTTGTCATGTTAGAAATGGCTAGTAAATCTTGCTAGTGTTGGAAAATTCCTGATTTGAACCCCTGGCAACAGCAAGTTTTTTTTTCCATGTTTCCTATTCTAAATAGCATAATAGAATTTATTTAATGTTATTTTATTTTTCCACAGACTATGATGTATAATGACTTATATTTTTACAATATCAAGAAAGGACAATGGAGCATATTACAGTGCCCAGAAAAGCCTCCTCCTAGATGTGGTCACCAGGTAATGGTTTAAATAAATATTGCAGAAATTTTACTGAATGTAAATTATAGATGTAGTATAATGTTATATTCATTTTTGTCATTCTCCATTTTTTAGCATATTTATCTACAAACTTTACACCTCTGATCTCAAAATGGTAGGTCTCGAAGCAATTTGATATGGCCCATGAAGACATTTCAATTATGTATTTGTTGCAAATATTTCAAGATTTTAGTTATTTGAATTCTGAGTTTAGATTATTTATTTTCATTTCCATTAAAAACAAGTGTGAACAACGCATAAAAAAATGTGTAAACGGAGCTAATCAATTTAGAATATGATATAAATCTTATTGAAAGATTTGAAGATACAGATTTTATTAACTTTTATTTTTGACTGTTCAAAGATACAGTTATATATTTCTGTGCTAAGAATAATCACTTTACTTGAATATACATTTATATGTGTATAACTTTTTTTTTCAAAGTTGAAAATTAATAAGAAAAGAAAACAAATGACCATTGAGTATCTACAATCCGTAATGAAGGTACTTTGTAGTAAATTCTCTCCAAGGTTACAAACATTATTAAAACCGACACAACATCAGGTGTAAAGCTGTAGTAAGAAATAAAGAAGTTTATAATTATTTACATACAAAAATGTGTAAATTTTATTTATGCGTTGAAGAAAAATTTAATAAAATGGAAAAAGAGATTAATTTGTCACTTATTCTCAAGTTTTTTTTCCTAAAGTTTCTATCATGTTTTTGGTAAATTTTCTTTAAAAGCTAGAAAGTTTTAGTAATTGGTTATTATTAGTTTAAATGAGAGTAAATTGTTTAATGATTAATTAAATATATTAGAATTATTTGAAAGAAATGTCAGTCTCAGAATTTAATGTTCAGATGCCAATGTATTTGAATCGCAGAGTGTAACTAATGAGAATGTCTTACAGGAACTAAACTTCAGATAGAAAAAAAATATGAATTAATCTTTTTTGCCTTTGTGATATTATTGTTGTTATTGCTTTTTTATGAATATTTAGTAAAGAAAATTTAAAACTTAATTGAAATACTTTTTATTTTGTTAAAAAAAAATCTGTCCTGTTAGCTGTTTACAAATCATGCATTTGGGCCTGCATGCAATTTGAGATTGAAATCACTGCTTTACATAACACAGTATAAGTATCACAGCACTGGTTTTGAAAACAAAGAGATACGATTTTGTCTTAGTTTTTCAAAGTATGTAAAAATTTCGGTTTTAAAATTTATAGAAATATATTGATTAATTCAAGGAGTTATTACATTTTTGGCAATTTTAATGTAATTGATTTTTAAGTTAAATGGGGGTTTCCTTCCCTTTGTATGTATTTTTATTTATTTATTTATTTTTCTAAAGTTAGATAGTTGAATTTATTAGTATGAGTTATATGCATACACTCAATTTTATAACATAGTTATTATTTGAAATTAATAATTATTCCCTTAAAGGAAGTAATATGTGCATATTTAAAATTATTATTTTAGTGAATGGGAAAAATTATTTTATTTTGTTTATTTATTTTATAGTGAAAGCATTTTATATTATTTTCAGTAAATTATCCCCATATTTTTTATCAGGTCGTTTGCTTTTCATATATCAGAGGTGTTTGTGCTCCGGGGAAACCCCGGAATTCCGGGGATTTTGAACTTCGATACAACTTCGATAGCAAGGCTATTTGGAAGCAATTTCTCAGAAGAAAACGTTTTGATAGAAGTGGGTTTTTCGAATATCGAATTCTGCAGATCTTGTGTTCCTTCATATGCGATATAATAAATTTTGTTTGGTGTTGAACATTATCATCAGTTGCTTGTGCTTCCGAGAATTCTGCTGGCGAAACATCCGCAAGGATAGATCTTTCTGATGCAAAGTTTAAAGTTATGAAAACATGTAGCAGAAATACCAATAGAAGCTCCCTAAGGTTATATACTGTGCAGACATAGAAGACAAAACTTTTAAACTTAACCAATTTATTAACAATATATATAAAAGTAAAAATACAATAAATAAATTTAATCAACACCAGAAACTTAAAGAGTGTAACATTATCAAAAATTACATTTAGTTGACTATTCATTAACCCCAAGGGTTTTTCCTTTAAAGAATATTATGCTATTAATGATACAGCAAATATATTACCTAATCTTTGAATACTGGAATTCAATACACGGAAAACATATCACAAAACAAAAACTATGCGGTTAATATGAATTTCACTTTACTATAAATAGGTCCATGCTTTTTAGCCAAGAAGTCACCTGAAAAATTAAACTAAACCCTGAGTGCACTTGAACTGGCAAAAGCCGCTCACTGTAGTTACACACGAGAGATCACAGCTTGGAATTTATCGCCGGCGAACCATAGAACAGATTGCCGCCCACGGCAGTTGCTCACCGGAAATCATAGTTTGGAATTTGATGTCGCTTAACTTTGGAAACAGGACGCCGCCCACGGCAGTTGAACACCGTAAATCACCGTTTGGAATTTGACGTCACTTAACCTTGGAAACAGGATGCCGCCCACGGCAGTTGACCACCGGAAATCAGCGCTTTGCAGAATCCAGGAAAAATCATCGTGGACTGGAACCACGGTACTTATCGTTGGATTGCACGCATCTACTGCATCTTCCAATGAGCACTGGAACGGCACACCAAGGAGCAATGAAACAGGAACCAGAAGGAATAAGCCAGAGCGATGTGAGATACTATACCTGAAGTAGACATGACGTCATCTCACAGCAACCAGTTGCCTATCGGCACGACTCGGCTTTCCAGATGACGTAACATCAAGTTTTGTTTTTGCATCTTAATTAGGCTGGAACAGTCCATTCTTAATACAAACAGTGGCAGTGAAAAACGAAGTAGAAGTAATTGCTATATCCTTCTAAAATAAGAACTAAACCTTATGTAAAACATAGAATTATTTCAAGGAGGAGAGATGATGCAGAAAAAAAGGGTTGCAATAGTTCATATTTTCCAACACTTTCTTCTAAACTGATGTCTGGAATTTTATTGGCTTCCTCCTTATTACTGGTTAACTTCCTTTCTTCCGAAAGCTCATTATTCAGAACCCTTTCTATTTCTCTTTCTTTCTCTTCTTCTGATCTGGAATCTAAGTCTTCTGCACTCACTCTCTCTAAACTCCTGCGTGCATGCGCCTGTCTATGAATCTCCACCACATTCAAAAGAACTGGTCGTTCCCTAATTTCCTCAATCAACTGTGCAGTTTTATTTCCTAACAAATAGTACTCTTGTTGAGTACTTTGTACTATACTATAATATATGCTCAGTCTAATAAAAAGGTAGACATTTTTGACTGCAGTGAAACTTATGCATTATGTTAATTGGAAAAGGTCACAAACATATCCATTGCACTCTCTCATCTTAGTGTTTGTGAAATATGCAAAATCACATTTGCAAGTCCTGCTGATGATTACTATTTCAGTTAGCTGTTAATGATTACCATTTTAAACAATTTCTTACATAAAGTATTTCATTATCATAATAGAGATGTTTCTTATTTCTTTATGGATATTGTTTTTAACTGTGTGTAGGTGTCTTGCATATATTTTATGCTTAAGGTATGCCCTAGGGAGTAATCACAAACTAACAAATTTGCTGATATGAGAAATCCATGAAATGTCACCATTCGTAAATTCACATTTAAAAAAAAAATTGATGCACAGCTTTCATTGAAATTCTCACACAGCACAGTTTAGCTGAAATTCGAAATGACTTTTCTGAAGGGAAACTTGCAAGTTCAGGCATAAGTAATCTATCTATCAAGTAAGCATACCTTATTATTGTTGGTCAACCTTTTGTATATTTGAAAAGTAAAGGCCCATCATTCACATGGGTGAAACTGAATACCACAATATGAATGTCTCAATGAGTTGTGGTTATTGATGCAGGTGGTAGCAATTTTTCTTTGATCTTTTTATTTCTGCAAATGACATCACTTAAGGAACCAAATGATAATTGATAAATATTGCCAGCACAGCCTGAGGAAATTTTTATCAAAATCTTTTCTGAAGACATTAGATGCATACTTTGCCTTATTTTGTATTAAGATGTTGAATGCTTCATTTGTGCTTATGCTTAATTAAAAATATTTTTTTTTTTTTTTTTTTTTAATAGGCAGTTGTGGTATCTCAGAGAGGAGGCCAGATGTGGATTTTTGGTGGAGAATTTGCAAGTCCAACTCGCTCAAATTTTTATCATTATAAGGATTTGTGGGTCTTCCATCTTACAGAAAAAAGGTGGGAACAGATTAAAGTACCTGGGGCACCTTCATCTCGAAGTGGTCATCGAATGGTTGTCAGTCGGAAACAGATAGTCCTGTTTGGTGGATTTCATGAAAGCATTCGGTTTGTATTAATCTGTATTAATTTCATATGTAATATCTCTGTACAGTTCATGTATTTGTATATTTGTGTTTGTAATTACCAGTAAAAATGCTCCCTTATTAAAATGCTGCTCAGTATACTGTGGATTTTGAAATGGCATAGGTATCATCTGAAACTATGTGTAAATAAAATTGCCTTATGGTAATGCACTTAATACAATGATTCTTTGGGTATCAGAATTTCTCTATAGAAAACACAGAGTGAAAGTAAATTTTTATTTTTTTGTTGATAGTTTGACAGTTTAGAAATGAACCTTAGTTTGTAGATACATCAGTTGCTATCTAGAATTAAACTACTGAAATGTAAATTCATAATGAATATTAAGAAAATATTTTAAAATATAATTGTAAAAACAATGTCTTATTCATATTAATTAGAAAAGGGGGGAGGACTATATAGAGCGTAATATAATATGATTTTGATTTACATAATGTGTGACTATGCATATTATTATGTGCCTACAGGTTTGTAATCAATTGAATGCACACAAATTTGATGTTAGATTGATGGAATTTATTTTTCTAAAATCACTTTACAGTTCTGTAACTTTTCACACAAAATTACTCATACAACTCTTCTCAGTATGACAGAGCACAATCAGTAATTACCACTTGAAACTGCAGAGAACATTGAACACAAGGTCTGAAATGCATCAGCTTGTACAGTGATCTTTCAGTATTCTGAGCTAAACTCTGAACTAAGCTGAAAACTGAGACTGTCTCCAGTCTTATATAGTTTTCTGCCATCTGCTGAGAAATTTATTTCCAGTACCTTCAGTTTCTCGAAATTGCTAGAAGACACATGCAATTGCAGTTACATAAGGGTTGGACCCTAATGTCACCCAATGGTCATCAAGTGTGGTAATTTGGCAATTCATTGCCAAATTTAGCAACAAAATTAGTCATAAAAAATCATTGCCAGCTTGGCGGTATGTCACTAATTTGGTCAGATAACTATTTACCTCAATGTTAACTAGACTTACTCCTGTAAACCCGTTTTTCTGGATTATGTTTTGCACTCTTGAGACTTTTCATGGTACATTATACAAGTGATACTACAGTTTAGACATAATTCCACTAAAATGATTTACACATTGTAGAGATATTAGGTTATTTTGATGCTGGAGACATAGAAAATGTACAGTGCCCTTGCTGAGACTCGAACCCTGGACCCGGAATACATGCCGAGTGTGCTAGTGATTATACTACAAAGGTGTGCTGGAAGGAGATAGAAACTACCTTGTGTACTTCTGCTTTTAAAAGGTGACTGGGGATTAGGGGACCCAATCGCCAAATCCTGGTGATGAAGAATCACCACAACCTTTTTTTGGCTTAGGGTCAGTGTAGAGTCATTAGTTTTTTTTTCTTTTTCTTTTTTTTTTTTCTTTTTTTTTTCTTTTAAAACCAGGAAGATGTGAGAAATGTGCAATGCCCCTGCCAGGACTCAAACCTGGACCTCTTGAATACGCACGGAATGTGCTATTGGTACACCATGAAGGCATGCAGAAAGGAGGGAGAAAATACCTTGTAATATATACAAAATTCATAACAATGTTTATTGCATGCATTGTATATTGTACTTTTTGTTTCATTTGTTGCCATTTATACAGTTTTTAACTAAAATTCAAAAAATTAGTTTCTGAAACACCATTAAATTCATAATTATATGTAATCTCTTTGTGCACAGATTTTTTTTTTTTTTTCCCCCATTGGAGATTCACTTTTAGTATAACCCAAGTAGCATTATAACATAAGATTAATTTCATTTCCAACCCTATATTTTAATGAGGGAGCATTGTATGAAGCTGTGGCACAACCCTATATTTTAATGAGGGAGCATTGTATGAAGCTGTGGCAATAAGAATTGTGACCGTAAAAGTAAACTTAGACTTTTTAATGTAAATATTTTTACTTGTTTTTTTAACACTTTATATATTTTATAAAATTGCAATTAACAGGAAATTTTTAGATATCTTTCTTTTTGCCACACTTGATTAAAATATATTATTTTTAGGGATTATAAATATTTTAATGATGTCTACATTTTTGATCTTGAATCTTATGCATGGAGTAAAATTGAACCTGGTGGTAAAGGTCCAAGTCCACGGTCTGGATGTCAGATGGCACCTCTTACGGATGGACGAATACTACTATATGGTGGATACAGTAGGGAAAAAGTAAAAAAAGATGTTGATAAGGGAACTGCTTATACTGATATGTACTATTTGCAAGTTGATGGTAAGTGTTTTGCTTAAAATTGAATTTATGTTTCATAGTATTATGAAGTATTTATACTATTTATTAAGCTATTAACTTACTGAAAGTTCAATCTTAAAATAACATCATCCTATAGAACAGCTTTATGATTCTAAAAGAATGTACCATCAAAGCTATAGCTAAGGGTTTTCAGTGCCGGGGAACAACTGAAGATTTTCTGCCCCTTTCTGTGTGCAAAGAATGGAAAACATTTCATTCTAAAATTTCGTAGTATAAGTTTGTCACCTCCAGGATGCAGCACCTGGAGACAGATGTCCTCCCATTGCCCCACCCTAGCTACGCTACTGTGTACGATAGATTTTTCATCTTCAGTGAAAAAAAAAAAAAAAAAAAAAAAAAAAAAAAACATTCTGTCATTAAAATCATGCAAATACAATTTAACTTCTTTAATGTACATTCTATTTCAGTAGACAGTTTCCAGTAGCAGATAGTTCCTAAATTGCTAGATTGTCAAAACGAGAGTCTAATGCATTCCCATTTAGTTGTCACTCCCTTATAGCAGATAAAAGCTCACTATCATGAGTATCTGTTAAAAGGAGGTTAGACTGGTATTTGATTTAGATAAATGTTAGTTTTATAAATAAGTTTTTTGCACTTCAAGAGAATCTTGTGTTAGTCTTTTTTTCTTCAAGAAACAAATTTTGTTTTGACAATAATGTTTGATACATTTTGCTTATCTGCTCTCTCAGTTTCAGCATGTGATAAAACTACCATGTTTTTTTTTTTTTTTTTTTTCCATATTTCTGAGTGTAAATTTGGCAATAGCCTTGTGTAGATACTACACACGATTGATTGCACATGGATTTATATATTTTATATTTAACAATCATTTCACTGAACAATGCTCACTGAATGTAAAAATGTAAATGTCAGCCACATACACTTTTGATTTTTCTCATAAAGATTCTTGTTTCTCAGTAAATGTTTTTATTATTTTACAAATTTTACAGTACCAGTATGCTACTAAGATGGCCAAACAAGCATTTTTCACCATTTCACAAAGTTGACAACTTTTTGTGGAAGTGTAGATAATCGGAAAGTACCTAATTTACCTGATCGAAAAAAAAAATTTTAATTTGTTGTAAAAAATATACTTTGCATAAAATCAGTATTAGAGATTATTAAATTTTGAGAGCTTCTCAAAATTTTTGCTATATATGTTTAGTATTAAAAATTATTTGTTAAAAATATTACAGGCTTTCATGATTTAAATCAGTATTAGAATTAAAAGTTTATAAATCCAGTTTGGTACTTCTTTTGGCTGATGATTTGACAGACTATCCAATGTAATTGCAGACAGTATCTTTTGTAAAATATTTTTAAATCCTATACATCCTGTTTAAAACATATCTAAAGCCAAGTGAAACTTATAGTAATGTGCATATCAATAATAGAATTTGACAAGGCAACACATGTCAGAAATTCTTTTCTCAATAGAATATTGACTTGAAGAGTAACCACATTGAAACTGTATCTGGTTCCCATAATGTTGCAAATAAGCTTATTAATTTGCAGTTATTATTTTAATATTTGTTTTTAATGCATGCTTATGCTCTGTTTATAACCTTTCATGCCTTATTTCTTGAGAATGTACTAGTTTATAGTTAAAATCTTAACATAAGTCTTAACATTATTATAGCATGTTCAAATCTTAACATTATTAGCATTAGTTTCCTTTGATATATATTGCATCTTTACTTAAATTAGATTACTTTGACTTGATTTTGTAAAAGTGTAACTCTGAGAAATAAGTACTTAATTTCATTGATCAAATTATTTGCAAAATTCGATAAGTTTGATAAGAGATATTGTTAAACAATTTTTTATGTTTCGCTATATTTTGCTGTATTGTTTAATCTAATTTAGTTATTTAATTTTTTAGAGACATACTTTAACTTGTTAGTTAGACATATCAGATATTTTTTACTTTTAGACGAGTAAATTACAAACATTAATGTAAGTTTTCTTTTGCATCATTAATGAAATTATAACATCTAAATCATAGTAACTAACGCAGTACACAGTAAAATAAAAAAAAGGGTAAAAAATCTGAAAGTTTTCAGATTCTATATTACCCACAAAGGGACTTTTTTTTAAACATCTTCTGTGGTACCTTTGTTTAATATCCATACTTAAACCATAAAATTCAATTTAACATCACTATCACAAAATAATTTAAAAAGAACATATCTTTAGAATTTTCGATATGCAGTCCCGCCCGCTGGAGATAAAAATGTCCACTTCCCCCACCGTGCAGTCTTGCCATTGCTTGCTTTGAAATCATTGAGTTTCTTAATCAAAAACTCATAAATGTTTTACAAAATATGAAATAGATAATAAAACAAATTCCAGCTTCCAGATGGCCATATTCGAGTGGAGACGTACGTTATTGAAAATTGTATGGCTCTAGGTACTGTTGTTTTATCACACGAAGAGAAACATACATGCATTTATGCAGATTTTTCATTATTTAATTTCTTTAAATATAATACAGGGTGATAATTTTTGGTGGAAACAATTTAAAAAGTGATTCAGACTTTTAAAGTTTTCGATGCAAAATGCCAAATTGCCCTTCTGGGCTAACACCCTTTGGGCTAAAAAGTGGGTGTTTTATGAGATTCTGGTTGTTTGGGTTATTCCTAGTCTTTCTGGACACTGATGTGGTATGTACTTCAGTAGATTCTATTCTTGATACATTTAGAAATAGTTCATAGTAGTTAGGTTATATTTTCAATTGTTAGTGGTCAGTGCTATTGCCCATTGAACCTAACTTTATAGTTAGTTAGGTTTAGTTTTGTAGGTACTCTTTATTTCTATATGCTGGTTATTTAAATGGTGCCAAGATTATTGATAAATCTTCAAAGTATGATGCAAACCGTTGCTAAGCCTCAGGCAGTACTAACATGGTCACTTATAATCTGCCTGTCATGAGAAGTGCCCTGAGTAGGCCATATGTTATAGATATGTCTTTTTTTCCAAAAAAATATTACCAATTTTTGATTTATCAAGGAATGAGGAAGCTATTAAATCATTCTTTCTAGAAAAAGTCATTTTACCTTACACTCAAATATACACAAAGGGCCATGGAATGAAATTGTATTTTAATAAAAGTATCTGGAGTTACAGCATTCTAATTAAATTAGAATGAGAAAATACTTTTGATGATGCCTTAGGAGGATTCATGGAAATTGGCAGCCACAAACTCTATACCTAAAATGCATTTGCAGTGTAAGTGTTAACATTTTCTTAATTAAAACTTGGTGATAACTTTAATGGCATTTGAATTACAAGGGTTGTAATAATAAGAAAATACTTTTTTATACATGTAGTTATCTTATAAGCATGGCAACTCTTTTATAAGCTTTTGCTTTTTTAGAACTTTTTAATATTGATTTCCAGGTTTGAGTAAACAAAAATCATTTTGAGATGTGGATGCAAATTTTAGTATTGGAGAAGGGAAGGAATCTGATAAAAGAACATGAAAGCCAACTTTGTTGTGCTCTTTTTTTTTTTTTTTTTTGACCTATATTTCAGTGGATACTGATTTCAAGCATCAAATAAAAAGTGCATGTAATGCTTTAGTTTTATCATTAGCAGTAATTATTTGTTATTCCACCTTACTTGCCAAAGAGCTACAGAACAAAACATGAAATATTTATCATTGATCAAAATATGTGTAAAATATATTAGAATCTAATTAAGCCATTAATTACAGCCAAGTGGAATGTTTATTGATTAAACATGTAATCTATGAAAGTTAGTCATATAATCTATTGTTATAAATTTTTTTTAAGCAAATTATGTTTAATGGAAAGTTCAATTTGTATAGATTTTTCTGTTTTTTAGACACATATATATGGTCTATTTTGTATGAAAAATTTTTATGAAAGAAATTAACACATTCAGATATCAGTTAAAATTAAGCATATTTCTGAATCCTTCCAATGAACTTTTTCCCATAACATGAATAATTTATTTTTTACTATACAGGAAAGCAATTTTTTATATATAATCTTGTAAGTTATGTTTTTATTCATATAAATATTTTGATTTTAGTCAAAAGGATATATTTCAATGTAGTATATGCAATTTAAGCTTCCTCTAATAATATACTTTTCTCCTGTCTTTTAAAAAATTTAGAAAGGATTAAACCTAGCAAATGGAAATGGGTTCAGGTGAAACCAAGTGGCATTCCACCATCTGCAAGGAGTGGATTTTCTCTTGCAGTAGCCTCGAATAATCACGCATATGCTTTTGGTGGTGTTCATGATGAAGATGTAGATGAAGAAAGCATGGAAAGTGTTTTTCATAATGACTTGTTTTTATTAGAATTAGAAAAAGGACGTTGGATGCCTGTTAAGCTGCATGGAAAAGATGCTAGAATTATTAAGAAAAAGAGGAGGAAAGAAAAAGGAAATGATGATGATGCTGATGATGAGGAAGAAGTTATTGATGAAAATGCAATTGCCAACACTTTAGAAAAAACAACAATCGCCGAAGAGTCTTCTGCTGAGGTAAGTTAATCTTTTCATGCATTTTTTATGTTGCTTTATTGTTTTTTAGGTATGGGATCTTATTTCGGCAGTAACATTATATTATTCTTATGTTCATCATTATTTTTATGCATTGGAAACTTTTGAGTATTTCATAAATTTAAGAAATAAAATGCATGGAAGACAAGTTCAATTTCTGAGTAATTATTTACGAAACTAAAAAATATTATAATTTTAGGATAGTCTAACAAGAAGCATTTTTCGTTACATGCCAAATGTTATCTAATGTATCATCATATTTTTGCATAAAATTATTTTATCTGAAACTGTAGTTAATGTACTTACACTGAAATACTACTTTTCTACTTTTTAAAAAATATAATTTTTAAATTTTTAACTAATCATGCTAGCAATAACAAATTGTGTTATATTTAGTAAAGGAATATGTAATTTTGTTATTTCAGAACTCAAAAATTGTTTGATATTTTTAAGGGTTAAATTTATAAAGTATTTTCTCCCTCCTTTCCACATGCCTTTGTGGTGTAATTGGAAGTATACGCAACAGATATTAGAGAGGTCCCAGGGAATTTGAGTCCCAGGGAGGACATTGCTCGTTTTTCATGTTTCCATCATCAAAAACCCTAATGATTGTACAAGTGGCACCCAAACTAAAAGGTGCTGGACGATAATTCGTCACCATCAAGATTTATCGATAGGGCTCCTTAATCCCTAGTTGCCCTTTAAAAGAGGGAGTACATAAAGTATTTTCTTCCTCCTTTCTACATGCCTTCATGGTGTAATTGTAAGCATACTCGATGCGTATTCGAGAAGTCCAGGGCTCAAGTCCCGGTCAGGGGCACTGCACATTTTTCACGTCTTCAGCATCAAAAACCTACAAATCAATGACTCTACAAATCCATTTTGTGGTAACTTTCATTTCAATTTGCTATTAATTAATTATCAGATGAGTTAATGAAGTCATATAAATAACTAAGTTTTCTGAAAGAGCAAGTCAGATCCCCCCCCCCCTGTTGTATTTCTTGTAGTAAAGAGCATTTGTCAGACTGCTATGGATTTTACTTCGTATGCATTTCCATGTGTAAGGCAAGAATTTTAGCTAATGTTTTGATACTTAGGTTTGGGGTTGGCTTATAGGTTCAGAATTATCTACAAATAATTCAATCACAAAAATGAGTGATTGGAATATTGTAAATAATTGAAAAAAAAGTTTTTATGTTTTTTAATTCTAATGTAAATTAATTAAATTTCTGAATAGCAATATCTGACTCAAAATTTTCTAGCAGTTCTACTGTCTCTGCTACTCTCAAGTCTAAGTGCAGGAAGGACATCATGCTCCATTTTATCATAAACATAACCATTTTCTGTTTCATGGATAATATCTTTATCTCTCTCCTGATTAATATCTTCATGTAACATTTGCATTTTGTTCAATATTGCTTGATGCGACATGTTTTAAATGACTGCACAGTTGTTTCTGACTTATTTTTCGAATGGCTGGCATTCAGCTTTGGGTTGTGTGATGGATCTAGCATTTAAGCAACCAATTATTCAGACTTTTGGCAATATATGCATGGTGATTAAAAAATATTTGGCAAAAATGTAAAGACAAATAAAGTGGCCAAAAAAGCAGATTTTGTAATGAAATGCATGTATGGAAATAGTATGTTGAGGCTGTAGAAGGCACTGTTTAGCAGTAGATAAAAGCATTTTGAAAAACATAAATTGCCATTCCTTAGATAAAATTCAAGTAGTGACGCTGAACAGCAGATTGCTTTATATGTACAGTCAAAAGTCGTTAATTCGGACATCCATAATCCGGAATGATATATAATCCGGACCTCAAAGCCACAAACTTTCTGCGCATGAGTCGCGTTGACGCAATGAACCCCACGGCGCGCAATGAATTAGAAGTTGATCTGTCAGCACTATCCTTATCTTCAAGGCAGATGTTTTTATTTTATTTGGCTTATAATTCTTTACTTTTCATCTGGATGTACTCCGTCTTTGATATGATTTAAATCAAATTCCTCGTCATTATAATTCGCTTCCGATAGTGAAGAAAGTGACACAGAGGTTATTGAAAATGAAAAAATTTCGATTGACAAATTAATCAGTATTCTTGACACAGCAATTATAGGACATGAACAGCGGAACTTTGTAACTGAACAAGAAATTATGTCTCTTTATAGAATTAAAGAGAAAGTATTATCACATAAAACAAAGCAACTTAAACAACTTACATTGAAAGAAATGTTTAATAAAGTAAACAAATAAATATTAAGCTTTTTTTTTTTTTTTTGAAAATTTTGATACCCTTTAGATCATAATTGTTCTTTATTTCATAAATTATGGCTTCATATTTTTAATTTTATAATTTCTGCATGCCATCTTACCAGATTTAAACTGATGATCTATAATCCGGAATCGCTGGAATCCCGACGAGTCCGGATTAATGACTTTTGACTGTACCATTAAACAGTGCTATGTACACTCGAATGCCTTATTTCCTCACACACATTCCATTACATAATCTACTTATTTTGGCTTCCTGTATCTGCCTTTACGTTTTTGCCAGATAGTTTTTTAATTGCTCTGTTTAGCTGGATTTATAGAACAGTTTTAAATTCAGCTGATATATGATTTTTCAATTTTGATTGAACTTTTGAACCAAAATCTTAGATCTTGGCTTATATAAGGATTGGCTTTTATTTGAAAATGTACCATACACTTTTTATATTAGTTGTATTGTTCAATGTTTTACTGCATTTTGCATGAGGTGAAAACTACAGAAAACGTTTTTAATGTGCTGTATTTTTAATTATTTTTTTTTTTTTTTTACATATAGTGTGAGGTAAAAACTACTGAAGACAACATTTTTACAGTAAAAATAGGACCACAGAATCCTCTTGCAGTGTCATCTGAAGGTGTAAGTTCATCCAGCAATCAGATTTTTCCAATTGAAATCTTTGTTCCTAAAGCTCGAATGAATGCAAGTGTTGTAATCAAGCACGGTATATTGTATTTGTATGGAGGACTGTATGAAGAAGGAGATCGCCAGTTAACATTATCTGATTTTTATTCTTTGGACATCCATAAATTAGATGAATGGAGAACTATTGTTCCATTTTCAACAGAATTGCTGGAATGGGTAGAGTCTGAAGAATCAGAAAGTAGTGACAGTAACTCTGATATTGCAGATGACGATGAGGAGGATGCTGATGATGAAGGTAATATTTAATAAGTGTGATACAATAATACTAAAGTAAAGTAAAAAAAAAAAAAAAAAAAAAAAAAAAAAAAAAAACCAAGTGATTTAGATTTATGCACAGTAGGAGTGCTGTAATTTTTAAATGATGTTAATTTATATTTATAGAAGATAATTTATTGTATATATTTTCTTAATGGTTTCTTAGTGATTAGATAAGGTTTTGTAGAATAAGTTTAAAAAAATTGGCATTGATAGTTTTGCTGTAAATATTGAAAGAGTTCTAATTCTTTACAACATTTAGCAATATGGTTTCTTATTTCTTAAGTATTCTAACCCAGTCATATTATTTAGATAAAATTCCTCTTTCTGTTGTTTTGCCTTGTTAAATAATAAGACAGTGAAGGCATATGCTGTTGTGTCAAAGTTTGAATCTTGGATGTTTGTCTGGGATGTCTGTACAAAGTGGAATCACTTAAAATTCATGAGTTCAAAAGTCCATATGAGAGATTGATGGTAATGAAAAATTAATGTAATTTGCCTTTTAGGATGCTGTTAATCAAAATAAAAACAGAGCTTAGACAAATAACATACATAGGCTTTGAAAAAAAAAAAATAGATTATTTATTTTAATTTTACAGGGCTAAATATTCAAATTCAAATTTTTATATGTCACTTATTTTAATATTCCAAACTTTATCTCTTATATTATAATTTTGTTATAAGAAAGGGGAAGGTATTGAAAGAATTGTCAAAAATTGTTCGAGAAGCGAGTTACCTTAGTTAGGCAAATCAGCCTTTCCCATATTTTTAATTTGAAGAATCTTATCACATATATAAGCAGTTTCTAAAAAAATACTTAAAACATTTTCAAACGTTTCAGTTACTAAAATGCTGCAATTGTGCTTAATTATATATATTTTTAGAATGTCTGGATTAGTTTTCATTTAGTTAAGTAAGTTTCTTTCTTTGAATATATATACACACACACACAGAAAGAAAGAGAGAGAAATATAATATAAATCTGCTAAAGGTGGTAAGCTATCTAACATTAAGAAAACAAAAAACAAATAATATGATGCATAAATTTGGAAATCAGTCCTAAAATAGAATGCAAATCAAAACAAAAACAAAACAATTAAGTAATATTTAAAATTTTAGTTGATAGCAAATCACAAAACAGTTAAGTTGATAATTCTTTGGTCTTTGTCAAGAAGCAGCTAGGAAAATTATCAATATAGCTGTATTTCGAAATAATACTGGATCAACTGTAAAAAGGAATGGTAAACCAATGATTAAATTGTGATTCATTTAAGTTTTTAAAAAATTATAATTTAATAAAAATGTGAATTTTTTAAAAATTCTTTTACAATGATTCCATCTTATTTTCTATTTCATTGTGTGTACCTTTTCCTTTGAGATGGCTGATTTTTATTTAATATTTTTTTACTAATTTAAAATTTTTTAAAGTTAAAATTAATTTCAGTTGAATCACATGTTTACCATTCTTTTCCACATTTCATCCAGATATGATTCTCAGCCATGGATCTCTTGGCTGTTCCTTTACAAAGACCAAAGAATTATCAACTTTTGTTATTTAATGGTTTTGTTGCATTTTAATTAGTGTTCTGTTTCAGGATTGATTTCGAGGTTGTGCATCATATTGTTTGGTTTTTGCTTTTTTTTTTTATGTTACATAGCTTGCCATTTTTATCAGATTTATAGATCTATTTTAATCACATTAATTTGGTAGCATTTTGCACAACATTGCTTTTAAATATTTTTCAAATATAGATGTCTCTCTTTCTCTGTTAGTCTCTATATATAAATACACATATATATGCATGTTCCACTTTTTTTTTCCGAAAGAGAGAATGTACCTTTTAATATTATTTTGATACTTTTCATTTGTACCTTTTTATACCTTAAAAAAAAAAAAAAAAAAAAAAAAAAGAAATTCAATATAAAATGTTTGAGTTTTAAAAAAGTTTTTTAGATTTTATTTAATGATAAAAATTTGGCTTTATCAGATGGCAGTTGTAGATGTTGTTCTTATTTAGGTTCTTATTTTTAGCTTTGTAGAATAGTGTGTAAATAAAGTAGAATATGGATTAAAATAATTATATGTCAGGTACAAATCTCTGGACATCAATTTACTGCTATAATTTGAATATCCTATCAAAATATTTCTAATATTTTTAATGTTCTGTTATTGTGTATGTTAGCTTTCGGCAGGTAGAAATGGTAGCATATATATGCATGTTCCACTTTTTTTTTTCCGAAAGAGAGAATGTACCTTTTAATATTATTTTGATACTTTTCATTTGTACCTTTTTATATTAAAAAAAAAATTCAATATAAAATGTTTGAGCTTTAAAAAATTTAATACCTTTTAGTTTTTTAGATTTTATTTAATGATAAAAATTTGGCTTTATCAGATGGCAGTTGTAGATGTTCTTATTTAGGTTCTTATTTTTAGCTTTGTAGAATAGTGTGTAAATAAAGTAGAATATGGATTGAAATAATTATATATCAGGTACAAATCTCTGGACATCAATTTACTGCTATAATTTGAATATCCTATCAAAATATTTCTAATATTTTTAATGTTCTGTTATTGTGTATGTTAGCTTTCGGCAGGTAGAAATGGTAGTGAGTGTGGTATTCCAGTGAAATCACCATGGCATCAATCAGTGGCATGCATGTATACAAGAATTATTATAATCAGTATAATTATGCCATTCTTTTGATTTGAGTATCATTACCATAGTTAATACTTTTTGTACAAATATTGCAAGTAAGTTAAAAGCATGCAGTTATATGTAACTACATGCTATATATATGTATATAATATGCACATTGAAAAATTTTAAAATAAGCTGATTATTCTTCATTTTTTGATTATAATTTCATCTTTTAAAAAACTGCTTTTTTATTTTTTTTTAATAGAAATGGACACTTCATGAATCAGTGGCCTTCATGCAAGAAAGAGTAAAATGCATTATCATTTCATATGGCTGATTATAAATCTATGTACAAATGAATAAATTTTAATTTATTTTTAAATGTTTTTTTTTGCTGACTGAATTATTTTTATTATTTATTCATTAATATTTATCCTTTGTTGCTCTAGAATTAAGTTATGTTAACTCAGGAGTATGCATGGTCCATTGTTGCGCATGAGGACATGTGTGAGGTATATTGGACTCCTTTGATCCCACCTTAGCTATATCCTTTTCCTACCACCTATATTCTTTTCTCAAATTATTACTGCTTGAATTATGCTTTATAGAATATATCTGCATAAAGTCTTATTTTTTATACATTCAATATACTCGAATAATTATCTACAAATATCAATATAAATATGAAATTGCTCAAATTATATTTATTACACTTAATATAAAAATACAAATAAATTATTATATTAAAATGCAGCGAGTTTTAATCAAATGATGATTTTATTATTTTTCTGCATTAAAACATAATTATTAGTAGATTATTTTATAATTAATGATAGATTATTGGGTAATTTCTTTATTTTTATGCATAAATGACATATATCTTTTAAAATAATATTATTATATTTTCATTAAAATTAATAGAATATTCTGTAAAATTTAATACAAAAAATAATCGAGATTAATTAGAAAAAGTAAATGAAAATTGATTCATACAGTATCAAATATCGCTGGTTTTTTGATAAATTGTAATATTCTTAACACATTAAAAAGGTGTAATTGAGCTCATAAGTTTTATTTTTTATGCAAAAACAACAACATTTCATTTTTTTAAATGCAAAATTTAAAAGTAAGAAAATACATTAAAAAATGCTGATGAACTTGAACAGAATATGTGTTAATTATGACCCCAAAGTAATGTTAAGGTAATAATCTAGCAAATAAAAAAACTAGAAATTTGAAACCTGGTGTTTATGACAAGTACTGAAGAACTGAAGTGATAGTGAATCAGAATTTAAGAAGAGCATTTTCTTTTATGGAGGTGAGATCAAATAGACTTCATGCGCTTGCTTGTGTGTTAACAAATATCAGTTTAATTTCATACTCCATATTTTTTAAGCAAATAAGTAATTAAGATACAATATTATTTTAAATTCAGAATTAAGTTTTTTGAATAACTTTGTGCTTCTTCTAATTTACATAAATCTGAACTGGATGTCTAATGAAAATGCTTTGTCATATGCATAACAGTTAAATTATACAAATATGATGATTTGAAATACGACTATTATATCATTTTATTGAACGTCCTGTGTATTAATTAAGCAATTAAATAAGCACTGAAAGACACATAACAAGGGATATATAGAATATATATCATTGGGGTGTATACTGGGTATTCAATAAAGATAGTTATGAACTTTTATTCCTTACATATTGGGCTTAGATTTTTATTTTCTGGTACAGAATTGTTTAAAATAATATTCAAAATTTTATAAACGTCATCTCAGTACTATCATGGTGGTGGTTCTGCTAAAGAGAAACATTTTGCACTTGTTTGAGTAAATGTGTTTTTTGTATAAAACTTCTTGAAATACAATACTTTAATTTCAGTCTCATATTTGGTAACTGGGTGATTAATATATAAATAATATAAATGTAACCTTTATGAAAAATATTAAATGGAAACAAATATCTTTCTTTTAGATGCATTGCATATTTGTGCATAAAAATTTGTGCTGTATAAAAATTAATATTTTTTTTGTTGATTTGCTGTTGAGATATCACCCAACTGTATTGAAAGTATACTCGCTTGTATTGACGTATAAGAATTAAAAAATATTAATTGCATAAAATGTTTAAAAAAGATCATGACAAAATTGCTTAAACAGTTTGATGTAGGCATATTATCCAGTTTAAGAAATTAATCAAATTCATGTAGGCTTCAGAGAAGAGCAGTTTCAGTTTAAAATGCACAACATTTAATTTTTCATGTTGGTTCTGTCAAAAGCGAGTTCTAATTAATGAGAAATCCCTCGGGCAAATGAGGTTGTGTACTATACAAAACATGATCTGGAAGAAATTGTCAAAATGATGTCTTTTACAACCAAAGTTCTATCATTTTAAAGCAATGGAAAGAAAATAGTAAAATGTTGATTTTATATAATAAATTAACAGGAGATTTTGGGAAAATGCATTAATTAAAGATCATGCAAAAATAAAGTTTTGTTAGATGAAAATTTTCAGATATTGCACAAATGTGTGGAATCTAGAGCATGTGCTTCTATAATTGTATTTTCTAATGTAAAAGGCATCTTTTAGAAATCTGCATCATTTCTTATGTGTGTAGTTGCCATGACAGCATTTGTATATGATTCATATAAATTTTCATTTATGCTAAATATTTTTCACACTGCCCATATAAAAATTTAAGTTTTGCATATTTTTACTAAAAGGTGATATGTGACCAAATTTGTTGCATTTTGTACAAGTCTTTCATTTTATTCATTTCTTAAACTAAAACCATGGATTATTGACTAATCATTCAAAAGGTATTTAGTTGTAATTTTTTTAAACATTTTATATAAGGGTGTAATTATTAAAATGCATGCATATTTTTATACAGAATTATTCATAAATTTGTGAAGTATTTTAAAAATTCATAACAAATTAATTAACTGAAATGGAGGCAATAAGAACATTGAAATGCAGGTAACCCCCCCCTTTTTTTTTTTCTTTTCCAACTTATTTCACAAATGCTTAGTATATCTACCTTTCCTGATATAGCATAGGAATGGTCAACAAGTTGATTCTGAGGTGATTTTTGGTCAATCACATCCAACAGGAAATGCTTTTAACCTGCATATGCAGCTTAGATTATTCACAAAATAAGGACTATAAAATATAATTAGGAATTCTAAGTCTCAGTTAAAAGGATGAACAAAATGTTTTTAAAAAACCCATGTTAAAATCGTACAGTGACCGATTACATTAGTCAGTCATTAGTAAGCCATATGTAAGTAAAAAAAATCAAACCATTTTCTGGCGAGAAATTCATAAAAGAATTTTCTTGGAAATGTAAGATTCATTTTTTAATGATTTTAAGAACAAAATTGAAATTACTACTGCAATTAAAGATCTACAATTGCCTCAAAATACTGTGATGGTGATTGAGAAAATGAGTGAAAATATAATAGAACAATTATTTAATGACATTAATAGATGTTCCTGTTTTTCCATTAAATCTGCTGAGTCGACAGCTATAAATGACCAAGCACAAAAGACTATAGCTAAAGGAGAATTTTTGGGTATGGTTTCTTTAAAAGGAAGTAGAGGTGTACATCTATTCAACTGTTTTAAAACTTTCTTTTGAATCAGCATATTTGTCTTATGTATAACTATGCACTCATTGTATTGTATATGTAGTAAATAAAAAAATTCATTAAAATATATATTCTTTTTTTTCATTAGCAATAGGAGAATAATTAAATGATGCTTTCAATTTGATTATGAAGTTAAATAAATAATAAAAATTCTGTAGAAATAACTTACGTTGGAATTTGTTATAAACAATATATAGTCAGCATGCTTAAATTAATAATGAGGCTTGTCACAAGTAAATTTATTTTGGAACTATAATGTATTGGATAGCCTAATTCTTAACATTGTTTATAGAAATAAATAGTGCAAATAAAAAGTAATTTTTTTTTTAAATTTTAATTCTTCTGGTCTTTTGGCTGCTGAATAGTTAATATGTTTGTATTGTCACATATATTTTAAATACACTTTTCTATGTTTCATATGTTATCCCTCTGAAAGGTCACCAGGCTATAGTTATGAAAAAAAGTATTGGTTAAAGGAATAAGCATTGAATTTGGTAATTCTAGTAGTCTTCAAACTACTGCATAAGTTAATAGCTACGGTGGAGCTTGATTGTGATGAAGTAAAACATATGATTTTGTTTTTCTTTGGTCACCAGAATATGCTTCAATGCAAATGACACAATATAACACATTATAAACAAACCTATTTTATTCTTGCTCAGTTTCGTATAAATCACAGTTATCTAATTTTCAGATAACAACACACAGCTACACTTAGGCACATAAGTCAGTTGTCAGTGTATAGCACCATTGCCTTTTATACATTCTCTATGTTTTCTGAGCAATACAAAAGAATATTTATGCACTGTAAAGATGGGCATTTAATACTGCTTTCACAAAATATCTAGTCTACAGAGAAAAGTATGATTTAACATCATAACTAAGAACGTATTAAAAAAAGTAATAAGCTTAAAATTTTATGCTAAGATTAGCACAAATTCATTTGTTAAGACTAATGATTTGTGTGGATGTAAAATCCTTAGCAAAAAATATACATATGTATGAAAATGAATTAAACTTAAAAGGTGTGAGTTAATTTGTATTTGAGGACTTGAAAAGTAAAATTTACAGTGTGTATAGAATTTGCCAAAATTATTTCCTTTTCTCTTCCTTTGATTCATCAATTGAAAAAGCTATGATGCCATACAGAAACTCTGACGTTCTTTTCCACTTTAACAGCGCAGTATCCTTTTTGTCAACTTCCTGATAAAATTAGAAGTTAAAAAGCCACATGAAAAAATAATTTTATGATTTATTGAACAAGTATGACTGCGAAAAAGTCAGAATTATATTTGCTTAGAAAATGCGTAAAGCAGTTATTACAATTATAGTTAACATTCTTTTTTTTTTTTTTTTTTTTGTTTTAAATATTCAATAGCTAATAGCAGTAGAATATTATAGTGATATTATTAAAATAATATTCTCTTAAAATTTCTAGTTAATAAAAATATGAAATTCTTGAAACGTAATCGCAACTTTCTTAAAGCTTGTTAGTAATGAATAACAGCAACACCATGAAAACTTTTTGCCCCATGATTTTATGATATTGGAAATATATATTCTATTATGATCTGCTTAAAAAAAATTGTGTAAAAAGCCAACAAGGTATACAATGCTGATTCTTCTATAAATTTCTAAAGCTAAAATTCTCTGTCAACACATTTTAGCTAATAAAAATTTTTCAACGATTTGAGTATGATTTCAACGAAAATGAAAGAATGCTACGA